TTAATATGTTACCAAGCTGTTCCATGTTCATATTCCTCAATATGGAGCTTGCACTACACGGGTTTTTGGTAGTACCCACCTTTAGACTAATCTCTGCAAGCTCTTCTAGTACGAAGTCTCCCTTAGGAACTTCCTCAAATAAACTAAATATAAAAAACTTTTTTGGATCGGGGGGAGAAATTCTCAGCATTTCTCGAGCTGCATGCAACCGTATGATTCCCAAGATTGTTCTAGATTGGATTTCCCATGCTTGTGAGGGAGCTTCAACATTGAATTTCCTCAAGAACTGGTGCATTAATGTTATTTCATTTACAACCGTAAGCCAGTGATCTCTTCTCGTTGAGCTTGTTATCTCGGGAAACTCCAAGACAATTCCATCCTCACTAAAAAGACATAAGGAAATAAATGTCAGAAGTCATACTAGAGGAAACATGTTTTAAGCCTTCTAATTTTCCATTATGTCTTTATTTACCAAACAACACTAAAATCCAAATTCTGGAAATATATATGACAAGTCAATTACTCACAAATTACTGTCTTTAGCTAGGAACATCGATAAATTCATAAAGCAATGGCGAAATTGCCAAGGAAGATTTCACTAGGCAAAATGAGAGGTTTAAAATATTATAATATCTATATGCAGAAATTCTTACAAATCGGGAGACTCGCATATGATGGCCTTGTCAAAAAGAGGGGCACCCCATGGACCCGTGGAAATAGGCTTTGTCGAGTTTTCGCTGCCTTTGGAAAGATCTATCTTAAGTGCATCTTCATAGTTTATAATTCCTGAGGCTTCAAAGTATAGTGCATAGTTTGTCAAAGTAAGCCTACCTACAAAACTCAGAGAATTTTTTTATAAGAAACCAGAAGCCATGGCCCATGGCTTTGTGCGTAACATAAGGAAATTATAGTAAAAACAAAAACCTGGCCAGCTTGTTTCTTTAATGTGGCGAACTACTCTTTGTGTAGCCATTGTTCCTTCAACATGCAATATAATTTCATCATCCGCTAACTCGACTCCTTTAGGTTTTGCTTGCTTTTGCAAATGCTTCATACACCTTGATATACGGACATAAATCAAGTTAAAGCAATTAGAGATTAAGAAAAAGAAAGTTTATATTGAGCCTAAAAATACATCATGCTATATATGAGAACAATTACTTGTGTATTTCTTTGACAAACATATCGTAAGCAGGGAAGTGAAGTTGGTGACCGGTAGGAGCAGTTAGAGTCTCAAATGTGTATCTTCCGTTGATGACATCCACGGGAAGAGGAATGATTGACCCCATATAGACAAATGCATCTTCACCAACACTTGGTTCATGATCCGCCTAATTAATTCGAATGAACTAAAGGTTGAGCTAGGTCCTATCATATTTATATCAAAGTTGATAACTGTCACAACTCGACCAACAAAAAAATGCCCTTACCAGAAGTGGCATGATGTCTGAATAAAAGAGAGAGATGTCATCTTGCTCTGGAGATAGGGTTGCTTGAATCCTCTTGTCTTCACTTTCCTTACCTACTGCTTCCTTTGAAGACAAGTAACAAGTAAAAAATGCATTAACAAAGATTCCAAACCCAAAGAAATTATCAAGCCTCAATGTTTGAAGATTCGGTACCATATAAGACTCATTGTCATCTGCTTGAGGTTGTTGCCACGCAAGCATCATATCGAACGTGAGACGAGTGAAAGAACCATCTTTTATTCTCTCAAGCATGTTTTCACAAACCCGACTCGTCACCTTTGAGTTGCAAAACTCCACAAACTTCTTCGAGTAAGTACCTTCTCTCGTTCCAGGCTTCCATTGACATTCAAACTCTTCCACCAATTCATCAACAGTTAACTCTAGTTCCCTACAACATCAATTACCACATATTCACAACCCATCACTATTCTAAATTAAACCGGGAATCAGTTTAATCCGGTTTGCTATTCTTTCGACTAATTAACCACCAAATAAATTATGCAAGAAAACGAAATCCTAGAAAACCGTTCACTTACACGATCTTACACTTTCAGTTTCTGTATGAAAAATTACAAGGAAACGAAATCTCACACACGATTTTGGTTATTATTCATCTTAAACCATTCTACTATTAACTAAAACACAGATCTGCAAATATTGGAAAAGAAGAATAATACTGTGAGCATCTGTGAACGACGTCGTTTCCAATGGAGGACAAATG